CCAAGATGTAGGCTCCCTATTTACCTCTCTTATTGTTTCTCTTGCTGAGAAAAAACTTTTTAGTTTGAGTAAGTCCCATTTGTTGATTCTTGTTTTTAACTCTTGTGCTATGGGTGTCCTATTAAGGAATTTGGATCTCGACCCCACAATATGTAGATCAGAGCCAACTTTTTCTTCTATCAGACACAGTCTCTGATTTGATATCAAGCTCCTTGATCCATTTTGAATTAAGTTTTGTGCATGGTGAGAGAAAGGGATTCAGTTTCATTTTGTTGCATATGAATTTCCAGTTTTCCCAGCATCATTTGTTGAAGATGCTATCCTTTCTCCATTGCATGCTTTTAGCCCCTTTATCGAATATAAGATAGTTGTAATTTTGTGGATTGGTTTCTGTGTCCTCTATTCTGTACCATTGGTCCACCTACCTGTTTTAGTACCAGTACCATGCTGTTTTTGTTGCTATTGCTCTGTAGTACAGTTTGAAATCTGGTATCGATATACCTCCTGCTTCACACATCCTGCTTAGAATTGCTTTTGCTATTCTGGGTCTTTTATTTTTCCATAGGAATTTCATGATTCTTTATCTGTTTCTACAAGAAATGCCATTGGGATTTTGATTGGCATTGCATTGAACCAATAGAGAACTTTTGGTAATATCAGCATTTTGATGATGTTAGTTCTGCCTATCTGTGAACAGGGTATATTTTTCCATCTTCTAAGGTCTTCTTCTATTTCTCTCTTTATGGTTCTGTAGTTTTCATTGTATAAATCTTTCACCTCTTTTGTTAGGTTGATTCCCAAGTATTTTATTTTTTTGAGGATATTGTGAATGGGGTGGTTTTCCTCATTTCCATTTCAGAAGATTTGTCACTGATTTACAGGAATGCCTTTGATTTATGCGTGTTGATTTTATATCCTGCCAATTTGCTGAATTCATTTATTAGCTCTAGTAGTTTCTTTGTAGACCCTTTTGTGTCTTCTAGGTATAGGATCATATCATCCTCAAATAGTGATAATTTAAGTTCTTCTTTTCCTATCTTAATGCCTTTAATTTCTTTTGTCTGTCTAATTGCTCTGGCCAGTATTTCCAAAACTATATTAAATAGAAGTGGTAAGAGAGGGCATCCCTGTGTTGTTCCAGATTTTAGAGGGAATGCCTTCAGTTTTTCTCCATTTAGAATGATGCTAGCCTGAGGCTTAGCATATATA